TCAGATATTTCTCATAGCATTGCCCATGCTGGCACATTTATGTAAGATTATGGAATAATTCCTGTTGGAAGAGACCTCTGGAACTCTGGTGGGTGCCATCCGGAAAGTAGACCCTATGCTGTGTTGGGGAGGTTGTGTGCTGGAGGGTGAGCTGCTAGTGTTCACCGCATGGTGGAAGAGAGCCCCTCGTCTCACCTGCTCTCTGCATCTCTGCCCACCAGAAAGAGCGGACAGAGCGGCTGGTGAGCTCGCCCCTGAACCAGCTGCTGAGCATGTTTGCGGGGCCCCATAAGCTGGTGCAGAAACGCTTTGATAAGCTCCTCGACTTCCACAACTGCACGGAGCGAGCGGAGAAGCTGAAGGACAAGCGAACACTGGAGGAGCTGCAGTCGGCCCGTAACAACTATGAGGCCCTCAATGCCCAGCTGCTGGACGAGCTGCCCAAGTTCCTGCGCTTCGCCAAGGAGCTGTTTGCCAGCTGCGTGCGGGGCTACGCCGAGGCACACTGCGACTTTGTGCGCCTGGCCCTGGAGGAGCTGAGACCTTTGTTGTCGGTGGGTTCCCAGAGCACAGCCAGCACAGCGCTAATCTCTGCGCAGGACTTGTCCCCAAGCCTCTCTAGGACCCGTCCCGTTGCAGGGAAAGCTGCTGCTGCAGTTTCAGGCCCCAAGTGCCTTCAGGGAGGGGTCCTGTGGGGTGCTGTCAGGGCAGGGATTGCAGGGTCACAATGCAATTGTGCTTAGAGATGGTGAAGACTCTGGCTGCTCCTGGAGCAATGGCAAGAGAGCATTTGCCTGGGAGAATCTCAGGTCATGAGTTTGGTGACCACTCAGAGCTGGGTCCAGACAGGACTGCAAATTTGGGCGTGCTGCAAGGCACAGGCAGAACTCAGAGCCCCGCTTGGCCTGGGAGCTGGTGTGATTTCTGGTGTAGCTCTTGACCACTTTTCCCAGCAGCTGTCACCTAACCATGAACCCCAACCCTGCTCTGGTTCCAGTTGCTGAAGGTGTCCAGCAGGGAGGGGAACCTCATCGCCATCTTCCAGGATGAGCACAGTCGAGTCCTCCAGCAGCTCCAGGCCTTCACCTTCTTCCCAGAGTCCCAGGCAGCTCCAAAGAAGCCTTTTGAAAGGAAGCGCGTGGAGCGGCAATCTGCCCGGCGCCAGCCCCTTGTTGGCTTGGTGAGTTCCCTCTGCCCCATGTTAGGGCTTGCAGATCCTGGGACAACCACTCACACCTTCCTTGTTCCTCTGCAGCCCAGCTACCTCCTGCAGTCAGATGACGTCAGAGCTGCCCTCCTAGCCCGCTACGCCCCGGAGAGTCTCTTCCAGGCGGACCGCAATTTCAATGCTGCCCAAGACCTGGATGTCTCACTGCTGGAAGGAGACATCGTGGGTGTCATCAAGAAGAAGGACCCCATGGGCAGCCAGAATCGTTGGCTCATAGACAATGGGGGTAGGTAGCTGCTCCCTGCCCTTGGTGCCTGCTCTGAGTCCCCTCCTCTGGTCCCCCTGTGCTCAAATCTGAGCTCCCTTCCTCTCCCTCTCTGCAGTGACCAAGGGCTTTGTGTACAGCTCCTTTCTGAAGCCCTACAACCCACGCCGCAGCCAGTCGGACGTCTCTGTGGGCAGCCACTCTTCCAACGAGTCAGAGCACAGCAGCTCCTCTCCCCAAAGCAGCACCACGCTGACCTTCAGCCCCAGCGGGGCAGCCGTCACCTTCACTCAGAAACCCCCACAGGGCTCGGCCTCCCCGGCAGACCTGTACCAGTCCCCGCAGCCCCCCTCGGAGACAGACTCCCACTCTCTGCCCCAGCTTAGCTCTGGTGACAGGACAGCCCCGCTAGAGGCTGGTGCAGTGACGTCTCAGCGCCGCTACAGCCGCCCTGAGCTGGGCTGCAGCCCTGGCTTTCGCAACGGGCACCCCACCAAAGCACATCTCAGGCCCTCACCCTTGGTGGAGGACAGAGACTCTGGGTTGGAGAGCAGCGAGTCAGAGGGCAACCAGGTGAGCCCTCAGCCTGGGTGGGGGGGCTGGGGATGCCAAGGGCTGACCCCCTCGCTTGAGCAGGGGCTGAATCATCCTCTTCCCTAGCAGCGACCAGGGAGAGGTAGAGGATGAGACCTTTACCCCCAACAGCAGATATGCAGAGAACTAGGCTGCAAATGGGGGTGGGCAGGTGCGGGCAGCTCTGGTAGAGGCCAGGATGGTGCTGGGGCTGTCACTGTTTGGGGAGAGGAGCAAAAGCCCACACATCCTATGCAATGCAACAGTAGGGCTGTGTGGCACAACCATCCAACTGACGCTCTCCCTCTGTCTGGCAGGTCTATTACGCTCTCTACACCTTCAAAGGCCGAAACACGAACGAGCTAAGTGTGTCAGCTAACCAGAGACTCAGGATCCTGCAGTTTGAGGACATCACGGGCAATCGGGAGTGGTGGCTGGCCGAGGCACACGGGAAGCAGGGCTACGTGCCCTCCAGTTACATCAGGAAGACTGAGTACACGTGAGGCAGTGGGCAGGAACCTGCACCCTGTGCCTTGTTCCTGCCAGGGACGTTGCGGAGGCTGGCCAGCCCTGCAGCCCCCACTGCTCGCCCTGAGGCTGGGTCCTTCGCAGCCATGCAGTGCTCCACCACGCTTGCTGCCACCTCCCCTTCTGGGGAGGAAGAAGGGTGGGCTGGCCGGGCAGGCAGGAGCAGGCAGCTTGTGTGAGGGCAGGGGTGAGTTTACCTTTGCTGTTTGAAGCCCCTCTGTCCAACTGGGAGCAGGGGAGCAAAGCTTGGGGCCACAGCCTAGAAGGGTAAGACTCGACTGAGGAGGTGCTGTGGGTTTATATGGTAGAAGGCTAATGCTGAGTTTCTGGACTCTATCTTTAGCCAAGTAGTGTTAAAAGCAACCTGGGCCCTGTGAACATGCGCCCTGTGCCTTCTCAGCAGCAGTAGGAGCCTGGTCTCGCCTGGCTGTGCAGGACCTCAAGGTGGGACATCTACATACTGCCTGGGGGAGCAGCCCTGCGTTTTGATGGGAGTAGTTGAGCTCCAGGGCTGGGATGGGCCCAGCCTCTGAAAGTCCCTACAGCAGAGCCCGTAGCAGGTGGTGCTTCATCCTAATGCTTGGTTTCCCAGGGGCTTGGGCCTCTCCAAGCTCTGCTGGTAGCAACAGCCATCGTGTTCTCATCTTCCAGGTGAGCCAGAGGTCCAGAACACCATCTTCCCGTGTTAGCACAATATCTCCTGTGCCCAAGACCCATCTTTGCACTGACATGCCCACCTGGCTGCCCTGGGCTGGGGCAGGGCAGAAGGTAAATCAGAAGCTGTCTTCCAGCCTGATTTTTTTGGGGGGGGTTCTGCCCAGACTTGCCTCACCTGTGCTTTCCTGCAGGGCACTGGAAATGGTGCTGACATTCTGGGAGGGCAAGGCCCTCTCTGGGAGGCATGTGGTGCCCTTTGCCAAGGTGCCTTGCCCGTTGCCAAGGTGCCTTACCCCCTGCTGCCATGCCCTGAAGGAGGGAAGCTCTCTTTCTCTTGGGGCTATATTTGTATCCCCCGTACTGCTGCTCTGTAAATAAAGATTTGGCCTTGTGTATAGGAGGTGCCTGTACAAGTCGGGAGAGCTGGGAGGAGTGCCTGGCGGGGCTGGGGGTAAAGCCCACAGACTTCATGCAAACCCCGCAGGGCCAGGGAGAGTGTTTACCTGTTGGTGGGGTCCAGCATGCTTCTGCCTTGGCGTTTGTGCCAGCTGCACCTCCCAGGAAAGCTCTTCATTAAGAGGAAGTGATTGCACTGCCCTCTTCCCTCCCCCCCCCGCTGTGTGTTACGTGACAGGGCTCGCTTGTGTCCCTCCTGCCACCAGCCGGGGTGAAGGGCTTTGACCCACTGTAAGCAGGTGGGCAGTGTGCACATGGGCACAGGCTCCCTGCATGCCAGCAGCCCAGGTCAGTGCTACAGCTCCTGGCTTTCATACACAACAACAAAGAAGGGGCAAGAGTTTGTCAACAGTAACCACCATACTGTGTGTGTGCACATGTCAGTGGGGCATGCACGTCTGCCTGCACCTCTCCAGCTTGTCTCCACCACAGTCAGGTTTGTAGTTGAGCCACAGCCCAAAATCTGCCCCACTAGCTGTTATAGCCCCAGGGACTGCCTCATTGCTTTGCACTACAATCAAAGCGAGCTGTAGCCACAGGGAAGGCAGGCAGGACCTGGCTTCACCACCACCACTGCCAGAGAGTAGTGTTCATGCCTGAGTATAGCTGTGCCACTCAATTTGCACTTTCCACCCATGTGTATCTGAATAACCTGTGCTACCAGCTTCCCCCAAACACTAGCCAGGTTTAAAGCTAAACCGAGGCTTATTTAGCATGCCTTAAAGTCAGACTTTTAGTTGGAAGACTACAAACAGTTACAAAAAGTAAATAAATTATAACATTCACTCTTAGATTAATTGTAAATTTCATTGGATAGTGCTAAAGCGTTTCTCAGCTAGGTTCCCCTGGCATGGTGAAGTACAGAAACTACGGCCCCCCCCATGTCTCCCTGCCTGGCAGATAACTTTTCCCCTCTATACTGGAATAAATTACGCAGCTCCAGCTGCTCGTGCATACAGCAGGCAGGATGTGGGAACAAGGTTAACAGCTTGCTCAAGTCCAGATCCTCTGTCCCTGACAGCCAGAGAAGCCACCTTCTCCACTTCCCAGCTGCAGAGAGAAATTCCTGGGCAGCCCCGCTGCAGGGAGACGCCAGTGGCTGCTCGGTGAGTGGCAGCGGGAGGGAGCTGCCCGTGCACGCACCCGCACGCTGCTCCACTGCACCTACAGCACGGTGGTTTCTGTATTCGTGATGCCAGCATCCTTTGCCATGGCAGAGAAGACGCCCTCCTTCTTGAGCAGCTCTTCGGGGCTGTCGTACTCCACAATCCTCCCGGCCTGCAGCACCATCACCCTGGCAGCAGGGAACAAGAAGGTCTGAGCTCCCGGGATCCGAGCCAGTGGCACTGCTGGCACCAGCACTGCAGCCCCACCGACCCTCACTCCTATTGCCACATTATGTGGTTCACCTCTCAGCACTGAGGCGAGGGCACAGCTCTCCTCCCTGTGCTGGTGGGGTGACACACACGAGGTGTTAACAACTCCTCTATGGCCTGTTACTGTGAAGAAGGATCCCAAACAACATTAGGCATAACTACCGCATGGCCACCTTTCCCATTCCTCTATCCTACTCCCCTAGAAGCTCTGTATATTGCTGTCCCGGGCACTGCATCCACCCCTGACCCTCCGGCTCCGTCCTTGCCTGTGCTGCTGGCCACCTCTTGCCCCAACCTTGGAGTCCAGAGCCCCATTGCCCTTGCCCCACGGTACCTGTTGCTGTCCATGATGGTGTGGAGGCGGTGGGCGATAGTGAGGACAGTGCAGTCAACGAACTCGCTCCGGATCGTTGTCTGGATTAAATGGTCAGTTTCCAAATCTACAGCTGCTGTCGCTTCGTCCAGGATGAGGATCTTGGCTTTGCGGAGAAGGGCCCGGGCCAGGCACACCAGCTGCCTCTGCCCAACACTAGGATGAGGTGGGGAACATGAGTTACCTGGCAGATACTAGCAGGGCTTCTGCAAGCCTGCTGCCACACGCTGCCCTGACCCTAGCACCATGCCTGCCCAATCTGATCGTCTGCCACCCTGAGCACCACGTCCCTCAGCATCTTGCTCTCTGGGTCACCATGGAAGGGTTGGCTCACCCTGGCTCCCTGACAGCCCTGACTCCTGGACCATTTTCTTCCACCTTCAGTCCCAGAAACTTATGTGCCCTCATCCCTGGACAGCCACTCTGCTGGAGGCTGCTGTTCAGGCTAGTCCCTGGGACCAGGGAAAGGGAGGGAAGCTGGCCATGCCTCCACTCCTCCGCTCACCTCAGGTTCTCCCCTCCCTCGCTCACAAGATGCAGCAGCCCCTCAGGAAGGTCTTGCACGTATGTCTTCAGGTGGGCCAGCTCAAGGGCCTTCCAGACCTCCTCGTCTGTGTAGTGGTCAAAGGGGTCCAGGTTCATCCGCAGGGTGCCAGTAAAGAGCACAGGGTCCTGCCAGCGACAGCACCGTGTTCAGCCATGC